TAAGGAAACTAGACAGCTTTGAGAAAATATCAATTCGTAGATGCTTAATTTTCTTGAAAGCATTTTTGCCCAGTTTTTGAACGCAAATCTATTGACTAATCACTTATATTAGATGGGGAAGACAACATACACGCGTGAGTAAAAAGCTCTCAGTTAATGAAGGAAAGCCATTCGTTAGCGGCAGGCGTCATTTTTGGTGAATCACTCTAACACATATAAAGAGTCAATACTCCTAGCATGCAACAGTAGTTTCCAGGGAGCATGCGAAGTTGAAAAAGCATTCAGAAAAACACCAAACATTTACCAAAAATAGTTCCGGACTGTGTAATCATTACACATTACTTCAGTTGGTCCTATAGAGTAGACAAGAGCGCTCTATAAACAATTTATTCGCAGCCTATATCCCATTCCGCATTATTCCTAATGCTGATGTAGAGGCAAAGTAAATATTTTAGGTCCAGATCCATATGTATTTTTCATCTTATCCTCTTACAGCTAGAGGCAAGTACGAAATTCAGAAGACCAGTCGAGGAGCATATGCGTAATTTGGATAAATTTGCGTAGGACCAGTACATTTATATGGGAAAAGGGAATATAGGGTCAGTAGCATTCGCCACTTCACACAAGTAAGTCGTGTGAAAAGATGGGAAGGCAAGGAGAGAAAGAGGGTTGATTAGGCGACTGTGGGCGTTAGGTGAAGACTCTCCAGTAGTAAGGGGGGGAGTAAGAGGCTGTGAATGAGTTCGTGCAGTCAAGCGACTGCTGGACGTACTTAGCGCGCATCTAACTTAAGGTACTTTCGTGCGTACAAGACCGGCAACCTCAACCTATTAGCATTCGCTTCTGCTATTGTTAGCATACACTGACCCAGTGACTTTGGACTAAATTCGGCCCCACGCAATGCCTGCAATTAACAGCATGTGCGAAGGTAGCAAGATTTATGATCTGAAGTTTGTCTTTTCTCAGCCATGCCTTGTCGGATTTTCTTCTTCTTTTAATAAGCGCCAGAATGGGCAAATAAATGAAAAAGTGCTAAAAGAGATGGTTTGAGCTAGCAACCGATGCTTACCGTCTCATTGTAAAACGAAGTTGGTTGCTAGAAAGGTTCGTGAAACGTCTTGGTAAAGGCTCCGTCTCTGGGATTCACTTGCTCCATCCCCTGAAAGGAGACTTTGAAGAACAGCGCTCTCTTTTCCAACCTATGTGTGGCAGGCTTTACTTGTCACATGTGAATATTTTCTGATCTAAATATATTGGAATACCCATTCTCGCGAAGCAGTTTCTGTAACCATTGAAGCTAATCCCGTCTGCCGAATGCATTTTTCTAGCCCTTTATGCCAAGCAACTGACTAGATTGTGTTTTTGGAGTGCTACGAAAGTAACACTGCAGAGAAAGTTTTCTTTCGATAAATGTTCTTTCGGACGCTGCCATATGAACCTCTGCTTAGAAGGGTCTGTGAGCAAGGGAGTAAACCTCCCGTTTCCAAGTCCCACGTAAATTCCAAAGTAAAGTCAGGAGCATCAACAGGGCCATTCTTGCCCACAGGGTTGATTCCAGACATCGTGTGGACCCCAACGAGGCCTTCTAGGTGATTTATAAGGTCCCCCTAAATATCCAAAGTCCCGTGGTCAGCGTTTACTAGCAATAGCAGAAGCAAGCGCTATCTGAGTGACGAAGCCGGTCTTGCGCGCGCAAAAGAACCTTCTGCAAGCTCAGAGTTTGACCTGGCCAACGGTTACATGACTGCCTGCATCCTTCTGCGCTTTCTCTCTCTCCCATCCCCCCTCTCCGGCTTCAACAGACCGTCATTGCCGCCCAACCAGCCGCAACCCTCAAACCCCTTCCCTATTCCCATGGCTTATTTGCCTTTAACGATGACTGTGATTGCAAGCATGTTTACTTTGTATCTTTTCCCCATCCCATATAAATGTAATGGTCCGATGAAAATTTATCGAAAGCCTACGCAGGCTCACCAACTAATTTTCGGAATTCCCTAGTTAAAATTAATTGGACAGCGCCTGCTGGCTACAGTAGAAGCAACTGCCACCAGGCTGCGCAGACCGGTCCCGCGCGCTCAAAAGAAC